ACCTGGCTAGTCAAAGCCTTGGCTGGGATGATCTAGTTAGGAACGTTCCTGGTTTGAGCAGGGGGTTAGACAAGATGAACTCCTGAGGTCCCTTCCAACCCTAATTTTCTATGATTCTGTATTAGCAACAAATGATTAGCCATATTATTTTTAAGCATCTTTACATCACCATGTTTTATAAATTTGCATGATGCTCTTCTCTTTTCTTCTCCCTCCATAGGGTGCAATAGAGAGAACAGCAAGACAAAATGTTTCCAAAGCTCCTTGTGAAAGAGAGTCCGACCATCATACAGAGCCTGCAGGACGGCAGGGTTGGAGCTCCAGTCATGTCTTGCCATCTGAAAGCTGCAGGTATCTACAGCAAAGAAGATGATCTCATTTTCAGTCTGTCGCTTTCCTTTCTTTGGCTATCTGGAAAATTCAAAACCAGGTATTTGATTTGCACAGCAACAACTCTATTTCAGAGCTTCATTTGATTTAAAAAATGGCATTTAGAATGAAAGCAGTGGCATGTAGTTAAGGTGGTTGTTGTACAGTATTCTACTGAGTGCTAAATATATCACTTTAGTAATTGGAGTAGCTAATTGCAGCCCTAGAGAAATGACTGAACTTGAAATAAAACATGTGGAGAGATGAGAATTGGAGAACAGAAAAGAAGGAGAAGGAAGGACTATGACTGGGTGATTGAGGATTGACTGGGAGTGACTGGGCAATGCACTAAATAAAGCCCTTGGCCACACTTTGAACAATGACAATAAGACCGGGGAAAAATGTTGCATTTGTTACTGATCAAGTTGTGCCTGTGTTTGTCCTGGAACAGAAATATCCCAGGATTGGCACGCACACATCACCCTTCTTTTCAGTGTTTAGTGAGCAGCTGAATGCACTACCACTTTTTGGCCATTAATTCAATGATGCAATCCCAAAATTCAGATGTGCTTTGCAAGGTCCCGGGGAAAAAGTGTTAGTACTTCTTATCCTGTGAACCTTTATTAGGAGTTATTGCTGGAAAATGAATAATGGACACCTGAACAACTACATTTTGTCTTGGGATAAAATAATTTGTCCTGGGACAAATGCAACACATTTGTAGCATAAAATAAAGAGTTCAATAGCTGCACAGGAGTCAAGCCCCTCCATTCTGTGTGCTGCATGGGGCTAGAGTCCTGCTGAAAGAAAATAGTATATAATAATGTAAAGACTGAGGACTGAAGGAAGAATTTCTGGCTAGGCAAAAAGGCTGGGCTTGGGTGCTAAGGGTGTGGAGGACTGAGAACGATGAGAGAGAAAATAGGATTAAGAGCCTGTGAGAGGAAGGGGCATGACTGAGATCCAGTTGATTATAGGGTATCAATGAGACTGGACAAGGAGCTGGAGGGCTGTGAGGGGGAAACAAATTTCCAAATCAGTTGCTACTATTGCCCTTTATTTCCATTCTCGCCTCTCCACCTGTGAAACAAGAATCATACCAGTCCTTTGCAAGGGTTTTATGTAGATAAATTAACGCTTTTAGGTAAAGCAGCGATGAGCACCATAGAACTGCCCATGAGGAAATTATTGATTCTCTCTCCAGAGCAAGGTTTGTATAGCATGCAGTAAATAAAGCCCAAGGACACATTTTGAACAATGACAATAAAATAACCTATTGAATAGCTACTCAGAAAATGAGCACTACCCATTCTGTGCCCTGCGTGGGGCCAGAGTCCTGTGGAAAGTCTAGTATGTGATCACTTAATTAAAGACTGCATCATAACACCTATACCCAAGGGAAGCAAATTAAAGTTGCACAGGCATTTCATAACCTCTGAGCACTCAGCTTCCCAAACTTAATAAAGTTCTTGTAATGGATTCTTGTGTGTATAATTATACATAGTAGCCAGGTGCCCTAAGGAATATAAAGGCCACATCTATCAGCTGGTGTAGCTCTCTGTGAAGTAAATGAAAGTATATTAGTTACCCCAGCCGAATGGTTGATCCATGAGGCCATGTGCACACGAGCGCTGATGTTTGTTTCCCCAGGGCCAAGAATCAGTGGCATGCCTTGTGCTATGGCTAGATATCCCAGGAAACACTTGTGCCATGCGCCCTTTGGTGCTCAGCAAGTTACCCTGGGTGGGGAAGGGGAGGCTGCGGTCAGCAATTACCTGGGATCCTGGGGGCCAGGTAACCTGCAGCCACAGCACTTCTGAAGCTGGGAGTCTGGCCAGTAGGGCTGTGTGAAGCTTCGGTTCCTGATTTCATTCGGCTGGATTCGGTGAATGAATCTCCGAATCCGAATCGAGTCAGAGGACCCTTCAATCTCTCCGAAACGATTCGGAACGCTCCAAATCAGTTCGGACAGGTTCGGTGATTCGGATGTAGATACAGCTTTAAATGTTTTTTCTGCATATCTCTAGGTAGCAGGGGCTCTGAACGCTGCAGTGCTGGGGCAGATGCAGTGTCCCACAGAAGCATGGGGGGCTCCCCAGCATACTTGGCAGCAGACCCAGAAGTGGACCAGAAGCACTTCTGGTCCACTTTCTGGTCCACTGGGGAGCCCGCATTCCCCAGGCTCGGTGACTGGTGCCTCCTGGGTCTGGGGGGGGCACCTGGGGTCCCCTTGTGGCCAATCGCTGAGCCGGGGGAGCATGGGGGGGGGGGGCAGCGCTCTCCCCAGCAGACCTGGAAGTGGACCACTTCTGGTCCACTTCCAGATTTGCTGCCGAGGATGCTGGAGGCCCCCTCCCCCCCACCGCACTTCTGTGGGATGCTCCATGCGCCCGAGCACCGCAGCTATCACAAGCCGCGCCTGCTGCCTCAAGGTACGTAGAAAAAAACTTTTAAAGTTATGCCTGTGGCCAAATCGCTGATTTGCTGAATCAACAGTGAATCTTCTAATTCAGATTTAGCTGAATCAAACCAGGGACAATGATCCGAATCAACGGATCGAATCACTGTTCCCAATTTGGGCTGAATCTGAATCGAATAGGGCCTGTTTTGCACAGCCCTGCTGGGTAGCAGCTAGAGTGTGGCTCCAGCTGGCCAGGCTCCTGTTTTGGGTGGCACATGCTGCCACTATGTGCACCGCCCCTCTTTTTTTTCTGCGTGGGTTCTTTTGACCCTGGGATTTCCTGGGGTCACCTCCTCCGCAGGGAGTGCCTGAACATGTGTGTAGGTGTGGCACTGCAGACGGGTCTGTGGCTCCACATACAGCACAGCTGCGCTCACCTGGACTTGGCCCCCTCTAGTTATGCCACTGCACTGATGGTACAAGGACCAACACTGTGTTCTGTTATTAACCTATCTATTGAGTTCTCTGGGGCACTAATGCAAATATTTGGCATTGTGGTGTTTCGACCAGTGCTGTATTAATTTGTCACTGTTATAATCAATGAAAGAAATATGGATGTGTTCACTGAAATAAATAAAAACATGAAAATAAAAATAAGACCAGTGATGACACTGTACAATACTCTTAAAATAGCTTGACTGGCTCAATAGAAAACCTTTGTTAACCCCCAAACCAAACTGAGGCCTGTTTTTAATATGATAAATGTCAAAGCACCCAATGACTCCCTATCCATAGTGTTAACCCTTCAGGAGGGGAAATACTATGTGGTTTGCTACCAGCAAGGCTGAAATGCATAGAGTCTCCCTTCCTTAGAAGGAGAATTGGATCCGATGCATCCGGTGGGGGAAGATGTCACTTATGTATTTTGGTACTTAAAAGTCATAAAGCTGTTTATTTAGCCACTGCCTTTGATAACGTTTGATCAGTGCAGAAAGCATAGGAATAAGGGCACAACTTCAGAGCCAGCGTAAGCAGATACTTCTGTTAAAGTGTCATAAAATCGCATCATCGTATTCCAGAGGTGAATTTAGTCCATTTTGTCCAGATGGACAAACCCATTCTGGAAAGAATATGAATTGTCCTCTGCTCTGAAATTTCACACCAAAACCAACATTTTTGAGATTTAAAAATTGGTGTTTAATTCCATTTGTACCCTCCCTTCATCTAGGTCCCTGTTTCTAGGACCCATAATCAGAAGCAGGACGCTCTGCAATCCTGTGAAACGGGGTGTTCTCAAAAATGTTCTTGTAACGTTCTCTAAGTGGAGGAGACTTGGATAAATTCTGTCTCCCTGAGTTCTGAAATGCTCGGGGTCACGTTGCCAAAGAGTTTTAAGTTTTAAAGGCCAGGCAGACAAGCTCACCATCCGGCCTAAATAAAAAAGGGCATTACATATGTTTGCTGAGGATCAAAATTGGGCCCCAGATTTTTCCCTGACTCTTCCACAGGGAAAACCCCTTTTCTCAGGACAGGCTACCTCCCTTTTTCATGCCAGCTCACATGCACTGAAGTTTATTCTGTGCCTTACCCAGCTGTTCTTGATGAGGAACCTGGCCCAGTGCAGGATGACCACCCCCCCCCGTGATAGCGGTAGTTTATATCGGCAGTTTATCACCTCAATACTGGCAATATTGGTAGTGTATTTTATACCTCCTAAATCCCCTGCCTAAGTGCACTGCCACATCCCTGGCTGAGCCCTAAGTGGTTAAAAAACAGTATCCTACTAAAGGACCCAATTTCCTCTTTAGGTAAGATAAAAGCCCAAGAAATAGAGTCTTGTTTCCAAAAACTGACTAGGTTTTAAGATATTAAATTCCTTCCCCCACTGCCTCCCATCCTTCTTTCCAGTGCAGCACAGCAACTCTGAGTCATTGTTTATCTAATTTAATTAACATTCGCCAGTGCCTGCAACCTAAAACACTGTCTTAAAACATTTGCTTGAAAAGCCTCCTTGTCCCAGAGCTGTCATTTTTTTAGCATGATGGATAATGGATAGAAATAATTATCCTGAACAAGGTTAGACAGCCTAAATAATTTGAGTTTGAAAGAATTAGTGGGCTTAGCTAAACATCTTATTTTTCGAAACACATTAATAATAAAAAAATGCATCAGTGACCATAATGAATCAGAAAATCTGTGCGCCGCTAAAACAGTACATTGTCTGTTGCAGGAGCTATGTATGCAGTACTTTTACCCAGAATGATTTAAACCAGCATGTCATCCGATACATCATAAATCCCTCCGTTGAAGTGACTTAGGATAGCTTTGAATTTCAAGTGTTGGATATGGCAGGAAACACAATGGTTCCAGAAGTGTAAGTGTTTGCATCCAGGGCTGTCTAATCATGTGGGAGGGTGGTGATGGGTGGTGTATCTGTGCTGCAGCAATACTGACACATATCCCTCCCTAAAGTAAGATGAAAACCCAAAGGTAGTTTGATGGAGGGTAAAATTGTATCACTGCAGAATGACCTTGTTTTAAATGTTCAGGTACATTTTCATAGTATGGTTTTAGATGGGCTCTGAAGATCCCATTAAATACTCCCTGACATGGCTGGGTATTTTATTACCACATGCCTTATTTTCTCAGTTAAGAATTTGGATCTCATTCTGATCTTGCCTATGTTACTAGAGTGTCACTAGACTAAGTCTAGAAATCTGCCACTGAAGTCAATAATAGAGATCTATGGTATGTTTCTTACCCCTTGGTCCTTTTGTCCATGGAGCCTACAGCAACATCAGAGCTGCTCTGAAATCTGTGTTATCTGCAAAGACCCTGGGGGCCATCTGAGTGGTCACCAGAATGGTAGTGATATAGTGATGCCATCTTTCCTGTAATATACTCCCAACATGTCATTTGTGCCAGGGACAGCAAGAAGTGGTTGGTCTAGGACTGTATATTCCAGCTGTTTACCCTTCAAAGATTTTGCCAGGGAAAGCTTCAGTTGGCTGTTGAAGGAGCATTTCACCAGTGGAGCAGCACAGAGCAGCTGTAGTTAGGACCATGATCAGGGCCAGTGCAGTTAAGCTGGTGTAAAACTTGCAAGGGATTGCAGGATCAGGTGCTGTAAAGGGCCACAATACAATGGAGCTATATGGCCGTGGATCTTAGAGCAGAATCTGACTTTTGGATTATTTTCTTAACATAACATTTTGGGCAAGGTGCACACATTGGGTTCATTTCACTAGTGGTATGCTGAAAAGTAATCCTGGACCTGAAATAGCATCAAAAATCAGAATTTCACACACAGGAAATTGTCTAAAGCAAAACTAGAAAATTTCTGGAAACTATTTTTAAAAATATTTATCTTATTTTCACTCCCAGAGGTGCCCATCATGACTGGTCCTTCATTGTGCTAAGTATTGCACAAAAGCACAATGAGAGATGGACTCTGCCCAAGAATACAAATAGTTGGAACAAAGGGGACTGGATGCAGTGGTCACACAGCAGAGTCAGTGGCAGTGTTACAGAGCTCTGGCCTCCTGGCTTCAAATCTATGCCCTCGTCATTATACCTTGTTGCTATGCTCGCATAAGGTTAGCATTTCCACACCATTCCCTATATGTAGTCCTTTTGTAACAATTAGGGCCCCTATTCTGCCATCAGAGCCATATATATGGGTCCCACCATGGTCAGTCAGTCCCTGTGTGTCTTCATAGATTATCCTGAATGGCTCTGGTTGCAGGAATGGAGTCCAGGTTGTTGATTCCTACTCTCTAAACATTAAGCCTGTCAAGCCAATGAAGGTGTTTTGACTAAGTAAACATTTTTTCCTGTCCAAATATTAAGTTCGTTACGATATTTGGAAACTTCGGGAAACTAAGTAAAAATCTTCATAAAAATAATGCACAGCTTCAGTTCTAAAAGTAGATGGAAATTTTCTCCTTGAAAATATACATAGAATATTCTAGGTACATTTAGTAAAATCTAGAATTTTCCCTTCACTCCTGACTTTGTTTTACATTTCTGTTTTAAAGATCTCTGCACTGGTGTACAACCATTTTAAATTCCTGTAGCAAAGTAGTTTTATTGCTCCTGAGCTAGCATAAAACTGAATGGGAGGCTGTATTTCAAGCCAGGAGCTCTGGGAGAATGCAGTTTGCAAATGGTAATAGAGCCCAGAAATTGAACTCTAGCCTTTCTATTCAGTGCTCTTTTTATTATTAAGTCACAGAATAAGTAAAATGTTACAGGGACACTTTAAATCTACACTTGTTTGTATAGCAGCTGATGAATATGTGATGGAGAAGAACATGAAAAATGTCTGCATACCAAAAGTATGTAAAACATTGGATGCCAAGGGGTCAAGTGTGTCAAGTTATGTGATATGCTTAAATTGGCAAATTCTGTCTAGCTTGAAATACAGCACATGCTGGATGCACTATTTACAGTTGTACAGGGTTAGTGTGGTAGATTACTCTGTCCTCTATGTGAATAGTTCAGAGAAGGATAGCGCCGGGACTCGGTCTAGATACAGCTGTATGGAAGTCTCACAAGGCACAGCTGGGAACAGGAAGCAGTGGTGGTTATAACTCATATTTCCATGCTGCATATGCCATAACAATAAAAACTATTTTAAAATTCATTTTTCCCCCCCAGCCTCAAAATAAAATGGTCCAGAGTTGAACTGGCTGAAACTTTTCAGCACGTCTGTGAAAATATTGGGACTGTTGCCACAAAGGTGGTAAGGACAGGGCAGAACATGGAGCCATCATTTGTTGACATAAGGGTATGATATGAAGTATGTTTCTGTTGATGAATCCCTACAAGCTGTGCTTATATTGCTTTTGACACTTATTAACAATAAGAAGCCAAAATATCTGGTTTCTGTATCTAATGAAGTTCATGAGGTCTTGTTTTGTTTTCAAGGTCCAACATGTTTCAGCTAGAGTTGGCTTCGACTTCACTCACAGCACCGCAAGCTTAGTGGGGAGAGGGGGCCGTGGGGAGAGGGATTTAACGGTGGGGGTCTA